TATTCTTGTCACCCCCAAAAAAAAGAGCTCTCGGGTTTTTTTTTTTTTTTTTTTTTTTTGCATGATTTTGGCCTCACTATAGAACTTCTGACAGCTCTTAATCTACTTTAATATTTTTCTAGGTTTCACTGGATATCTTACACATGTCTGCAGCTCAGCACGTGTTTGTTAAGAAATTGAAACCAAAAATATTTGAGATGAGCAACAATGGATATACATCAGTTGTTAACAAGGAAACAACTAAAACTGTGCAGACAATTCAGTCATATCTGTTGTCCATAATTAATCCTGAGTGGGCGGTAGCTACGGCTCACAAGATGGCACAAGAATTTCCAACAGGTAAGGTGCATAGGGGATGACTTGAGGGGTGAGGCAATGGGTGGAGGAGAATAGGCTAGAACAAAGAAAAGCAATGGATATTCTGTTAATATAAAATGGGTATTTTGTATACTGTAGAAAGGATTCATTCAAACTTATTTATTTACGTCCTTCCCCTCCTTCTTTTTCTCTTTAAGGTCCTGACCAGGTTCAGGCATTTAAATTCTGTCTCTATCTAGCTGAGAAATGGCTAAAGAATACTACAGCTAAGGTAATAAACTGCTTGCAAAGCTGTTGTTTTACAGTCAGGCATTTAAGTTAGTGTTTTGTCTTTTGGTGTTTTGGATAATGGGGTGTAAACTGTAACTTAACCAGCCCCAATATGGGAAGTACTGTCTTTTGTGGAAGTGAGCCCTCAGAAGAACCCTCTCTGTCCAGTAACATTCTCTTGTTCACAACCTGGCAAAAATTAAGCTTAGCAGTTCTTGAAGGCTGGACAAAAGAATATACAGTTTTAAGGAAGACTAATTTGTTCTTTCTGCTGTTGTCTGTATTTTTCTTGCTGCAGGAGAATGAGCTGGAATCTGTTCAAGCTCTTAGATCAATAGCATTATTAACTTTTGATTTGAGTTCCAAGACCATTTAGCTATTTGTAGTAGTATATATAAAGTAAGTCTGATTTGACTTGGTCCTCAGGCTCATTTTTTACATAGTTGGTAGAAAAAGGTGAATAAGAATCTCAGCCTTACTTCTAAATATCAGACTTGCTATGGAGTTGTTGAGACACAGTGCACACTAAGTAGTTCTCTGATACACAGTCACATCTTTGAAGAGAATTGTGCCAAAATTAAACTGTAATTCTAGCAGCCAAGGTTTGATATCAAATCTTTTTTCTTCTCCATCTTACCTCAAAATGTCTTAATTTTACATACTGGTGCACATGGTACATATTTTATTTGGCTTTTTCACAACATACCTTTGTTTACGTTTTCTTGCTAAAGCAAGATACAGATACAGTTATGGGGGCACATCTGAAAAACAGGTCTTGGTACCCAGTTCACTGTTTTAGACTATAAAAAGTTAAGATGATTTTTCTAGTGCTTTTGAGTAAAAAGAGGTTGTTTTATATAAAAACTGTGGTGTTTTGTTAAAGGATGATACTCGTGAAAAAGCAGAAGTCCTACAGAAGAAATTATATATTCAGTATAAGCGATCAGCAACAGAAAATGTTCTAATAACCCATAACCTGAACACTGGAGAGCATTTAAAGTATATTGGGAAACCAGCAAATCTTATCATTTTACTCTACGAACACCACAGCATAGACCAAAGAATCCAAAATCCAACTGGCAGAGATTACCCAGGTAAGCCTCCATAATCTGGTTTCAAAGGAGCAAAAAGACGCTGCTTAGAAAATGCTAAGTGAGATAATACTAGTTTATAAATCTGTTGTTTCTACCTGTTTATGTAGATATCCATATGGCAGCCAAGGAAATCGCCGAAATCAACAGTTTGGATATGAACAAAATTTGGGATATACTGCTGGAGAAGTGGCTGTGCCCAAGTAGACTGCCCTCAGAAGTAAGTCACCACTGGAGATTTGCTTTTGGGGGAAAATGGCCAGTTACGTATGTTTTTATGACTTGTTCAAAAGACTAAGGTTATTTTGCACCATTTGACTTTAGTACTCATGAATCTATTTAAGATGCATGTGAATTCAGACTACTAAGGATTTCAGTACTTTTCTAATATTGTTGTACACCACTGTCTCCAGTGAGAATGATTTGAAATGCTTTCCCTCCTTTCTGTATAGAGATCATACAAAATCTTTGGTGCTACAGTAAGATTTTGTTGCCAGCCTAAAGGAGCTGTAAATAGTTTCTGCTTCGAAATACCAGTTTGCAGACTGGTGTTGGCTGCTGAGCATACAGTTAAATAAAGGACTGAAAACCAGAATTCCTTTCCTTGGCTGCATGAGCAGGGACGCCCAGCTTTTTAAGACAGGGCTTAAGCAAGGATATGACCCAGCTATTTAGCCAAACAATTTAGAAGACTCTCACAGCTAGATTTTCATGTCTTTTTAAAGAAAACTCAGGAAATCTTTGGACATGTACTAGAAGATGGAGAACTCCGGAGGTATGTGTGTTGTCTTCTATATAATATGAGGAATTATTGTTAACTTGCAAGTTTAACTATATCCGGCTTTTTAAAGAAAATTAAGAGTGTGTGTGATTCAGAACCCACTGTTGTGTTCTTATTTTTACTTTCTGGTGACATCTGTTTTGAATCATCAAATACTTCCTTATGCAATGAAATGCCATTTGCAATAATTTACAGATATAAACATGTGCTTAAGAGTAGCTGTTTGGAGGTTTTCTCCTCATTTTCTATATCCTTGGAATCTCTTATCCTTACTCTATTTTTGAGCTGAAATATATTTACATTTCAGTGAATATCGATACACTGTGTTTC